TCTTTAGCTAGGGTTATCACTGCTGATGTTACGCATCGACAGGTTATTAACTGTCTAGAATTGTTATGAAACGTTCCCTTCAATTTTTGCTGAACGTAAATCAACCTTTTTGTTTAAGGTTGAAGTAAAAGATCTTATCGAATATGAATGGCCGCTCAAGTCGGGAGACAAATATTTTCTGCAGGTAATATAATTTATTCATTCCTTTTTGACATTGCTGTTTCTCTATTTTCTCTCGATGTACACGTGATGCAGCAAAGTTAAAGAGATAACTTCAAACTTGTTTTTGTTTGCTGTCTTATGTTAATACGGCAAAATATGCTGAGAGTTTTTTTGCGCTTCCCATTATAGCATGCTTGCAATGAAGCTAGCCAACTTATGAATTCAAGTGCTTTTATTAGTTATGTTTTAATTGTGTAGTGTTTGTAATTTTACATTATCTGTTCTTTTCATTCTCCTGCCCTATCCTCAAAGCATAACTATGAATGTAGCGTTGCGAGTCTGTAGGGTGCGAATTGGGTTTAAAAGCTTAAAATTGCAGAGGTGTTGATAAAAGCTTTGAGAATCATTCTAAAAATGAGCGAAGAGTTGGTAGATCCATTAACCATATGTTATAGGAACAGGTTGGTGATCTGTTGGATATCAAATCATTTTCGCGAAAGTTTCCTGACATGAGTCGTAGGAAAGTCGAGAAGGTAGAAAGGGACTGGTTGTGCGCCACATACAATATCCACCAAATAATGAATGAAACTCGTTGGTTCTTTTTTTTCCTCTTGCTACTGTTTTTTATTTCATTTGCGAATATAGTGCCTTTACCATCCGTATAGAAGAACTGCATTGTAGAATTACGAGATCTTTGTGCCATGCGCTCTGTTGAAATTCGCGATCTGATGGCGAGCGAGTATCCTACAATCTACCAGGTGGGGTTTATATCTCTGTCGAATCGATACTGTCATTGTTTTTAAGGAGTTCCAAAAAGTGACTGCTGAAAGACTCAAGGCTGTAATGGCTGAACAAGCTAAGGAAATGGAGGCGGTAAGTAGTTTTTTTTTTTGCTTTTAAGTTATCCTAAGTTTTCGTTTTTAACTTTCTATCATTGGAATTGCTATGAAGCAAAACCTATTAGACGATTTTAGATTAAGAACGATGTGAAGAAATTGGCAGAATTGAGAGAAAAAGCTATCAAAAGTGCAGCAGAATTCAATAAAGAGCTACAACAGGTTAAGAAGTACGAACGACAGCACTATTGGGACGTGCAGACATCGGTACTGTAACGTGATTCATGTTCCAATCTTATCTGTGATAGCGGAGGAAAATGTGTTCTTAGATTATCCAGTCCAGTGCCAATAAATGGAAGAAACTCCCAGCCAAGTACACAAAACCTGACCCATACCCTGTGGCGCTCATCCATGGGCAGTACCAGAATTACTACAGGAAGTTGGTTTTAGCATGCACCTAGTCAATATGTCTATAAATATTTCCCTCCAAATTAATTTTTGTCCCTTCACTTTTT